AGCTGAAATTTTACATGTGATCAGATATTATGTCAAAATTTTGTTTTAGAAAATTTAAGCAGTTATTATTATGTAAATTTGCAGGATATGACCGTTCGGATACTTATGACCGCTACTGTATATGCCCAGGACGATCCGGGTGAATGAGACTAATATCAATATAGCTAAATTTATCTGGGTTAAAGGACAATTTTAATACATTAAGCAGGAGAAGATTAAAGCTGTATCTAGTATTCTGTTCAATATGACCTGCTTATGGATGTTTCTAAGCATTATGAACCACACCAATAATAATTTACCTGTGGTATATTGCAACCAGGCGCACAATGAGTATGAGTGTGGGCATAACATATGTGGTAATAGTGACATATTAGGATAAAGGCCTAATATAAATAAAGTTGTATCACAAAAATTTTCTTGTGACGTCTGAATAAGGACCTGTCTTCATCATAATGTGAGAATAACCTACAAAATAGTCATGTCTTTTTTGGTTGGATGACCGCATTAAGGTTTGAACCGTCGATGTTCGACTTACAATATTGTATTTTGGCCGACTTATGGGGTGGAGTAGGTATTTGGTAACGGTACAGACTTCTATTTATAAATGGACTTATATCAGAGGCCTTTTTTCATAATAGATTTTATTATTCATTATATACGAGGGTTACGGATTTGTTTGTAGTTTAGCTAATTATTGGGGGGTTTAAACTTGTGTTATAGTATAATCCTAGTTGAGACATTAACTCATTTGCTATCATATGACCGTTGTATGCTCACCCTGAAGATTCAAAATTTTCTGCAAGTCATGTTTACAACTTGATAAAACGTTGCAATAAACAGCATAATGTAACATTTAAATAGTGTAATAAATCCTTTAACTTTTGGCTGCAGTTTTTCAGCTAACGCGATGGCGTTGGTAATCTTGCATTAAATTTAACAGCTGCCAAAATCGTATTGCACTAGTTGTTCTGTTGACGTTTTTGCGTTATCCGAATTTGAACTGTTACTTTTTTAATAATACATCGATCGTTCGGATAGTACCTGTGATACTCCATATTATATATATAAGACTATTTCAGATAACCAATCAGATTTTCTCATACTTAATTATGTTAACATTGATCCCCAGGCGCATGATCAGCACAAATACTTTTTGATCCAAAGGTCATTAAAGCATTTCCGATCTCGATCGATCACATGTACTTAAACTTGTACCCAAAATAGAACTGTCAAGACGGCAATGACAAAAGCGGGGTTTTCATTCTCTTTTGTTCGTACTATTTCCAACCCGGAATTGGGATGGTACAAATTTATAGCTCACATGTTGACCTAACGAAGAATCGATTTGCAGATTGAAAGAATTGACACATCGGAATATTATTTACTAAATTGGAAATTTCTTACAATGTTAGGATATAAATAAAACACCAAAATACAACTTTCCTACGATAAAATTTGCCGACTTTCGTCCATCTTTAATGTATATTATATCTTCAGAAACGCAACGAAATGTCGACACAAGACCATGAAGTTATAGACATAGAAGAGCTCCCGGAAACCAACGTGTGTTGCAGCCCGGATACGCTGAAAGAAGTATGTCATGGAGGAGGCCCAATTACAACGTGTGCAATATCTCCACACGGACGGTGCTTGGCGACTTACAGCGCTGAAACAGAATCGGTTGCTATATGGTCTATTGAACAAGGGAAAGGCCACTTGGTTAAGCTATTTGAGACATCAGTGGAAGATAAAAAAAAGAAAGTTACGAGTTTGGTTGTTTCAGACAATCGATGCTTTATTTTTGATAATGGTATGTCTCGGTACATTTAAAAAAATAATGATCTGGTTTTTGTTAATTTTTTTTCTTTCCGGTTAATTTTCACAACTTTTGGACACGTCTTCCTATCAACTCTATTTAGCCCTTTATCCATGTAAACAATCCGAAAATGTAACGTTCGGATCGCCGACGCAGCTCCCAAATTATTGTTTAAAGGCACGGTCTGCCGTTGTTAAAGCGTTTCTTTCCTGTGGCGATCTTGCTGTCATTGCGACGACAAGACGTGGAGATATTAGATTGTATCGCTTTGCGAGTTATAGTAATAAATGGGAGATAAAAGACGTATGGACGCTCGACTGGTGTCACAGAACGCAACACAAGTGTGGCAAGGATATATCACCCGATCGATTTAAATATTTTGTAGTTAAAGACAGATTGGTCTGCCAGCTTGATGGTCATTTGGTTCAGTGGAATATTTATCGCGCTAAAGTTGAAGTACAGCATTTTTGTGACGATGTTATCGTGTCAGCTATGGACATTATGGCAGACGTAAAGAAGGTTTTGTTTACCGTGGATTCTGCCAACACATTGTCTGCTTTAGTAACTGGAGATTGTAACGCTCAAAATCTGACCGTATCTTGGATCAATACTGAATTGCCTATAGCCACAGTCTATATTAAACTGAGAGAGGATGAGCTGGTCGTTGATGTAAACTTTATAGAACAAAATGATAGCAGAATTCTCGTGACGATTACAAACATGGGATCTGCTGTTCTGTGGAATCCATATAATTTGACAGGCGAGAAGGAGAAACATGACGATAAGGATGCTGGCAAACCGTTGGAAATAATTGATCTCAATGAATACGCTGTTGTAGATTCTTGGAAACCAGGGACAACTTTTGTCCTTCACAGCTGCATTATGGTTGTACTTAACAACGGAATACCTCATACCATACCGCTTATTCAACAGAGTTTTGAAAAACACCAAAAATCTTTACCTGCTTTTCCAACGTCTACTTTTATACGGATGCTCGTTACTAAAAACACAAGTTTCGCGGCTCGAGAAAAGAAAAGAGAGCTAGAGGGTTTGAGGGTGCGCTGGCAGCTTAAAAGGAATTTTGAAATTACCGTGTATCGCGACAAGGCAGACATATTTCCAACAAAAGCGTGCCGTCTATCGTATTTCGGGTCAGTTATTGGTTGTACAATATTAGGTAATGATGACCTGGCGGTCTTTTGTGACAAAGGAATGTGCATCTTTTATGTAACAGATGATGGAAATATCGAAATGAAGTATTTCTGGGATGACGACCTGAGATTTTACAAGGGACGCAAGATTGGCGCTGACGACTTTATCAAAATAGCCGAACGAAAGTTTAACACTAGTTATGTAAGTTGGCCACCACCAAGTTTCAAGAGTATTCTGTGGCATAAACAGAGCACATTTGATACACAAGATGCGGACTGTCACAGACTCTTCCACAATCTATATCTATCCATGGCAAGCTCTTTAAATATTGTTTTGTACGGAAAGGAACTTTTGACTAGCATGATTGATCAGGACGATGAATTCATGGTAGAAGAAATACTTCGTATTTGTATGGACAAGTTTAACACTTACTCGGTGTCACATATTGGATACTTGGGGATCTTGTGTTTATCGCTTCCGCAGCTATGTGAAAAGTTTTCCGATCAGACAATTAATTCACTGCCAAAGTCCATCATGACAATATATCCAAATTGCAGATTTGTCAACCGACTGCATCTTAACCAAGATCACTTGTATGCATTTAATAACAAATTTGGCTGCCAGAGTTCTTTGAGTCGTTCAGTTGATTTACCATTACGGTTGAAATTGCTAAAGTATGACGGAACGCTGAGATCAGGATTCAGACGCTTACGGATAAAGATTTTACAAGCATTTTTCAGACTTTTAATTTTTCTGAATGCTGTATTACAATTTGGGTGCATGCCATTGTGTGCACTCTGGAGGTTCTTTTTCGTTCCAAAGAGAAGATCAACTTTAACTTTAATGGTACCTTTACCCAAATATTGCAGTTACCCTGAACAATATACGTTGTGGAAAGATGTTCTCAATCCACCTGCAAGCCCATTTATTATAGGCACAAGAAACAAAAATTCTGTGTTTTATCAAACATGGGAGTCTGAAGCTATAATTAACTTTAAATGGAGGGCTTTTGGTTTAAAATTCCACTGTCTTATAACCTTTGTGTTTGTTGTATATTTTTTCTTCTTCTCAATTGCAATAACAGAGGAACTGATTACAGAGGAATATAGAAAATTTTTCTTATGGGTAACACTTATTGTTGGTGGCTGGCATTATATTTTTTTATTGAGACAGTTTATACATAAACGAATTGAATTTATATTATCAATTTGGACTTGGATTGGTAGGTTAATACAAAGTTAATCTTTATTACTATTACTTGTTTTAAACATAACATTAATATTAACTATTACTATAACTTTTTACAATATTACAAGATGTAGCCGCATATGGCATGCCCTTTGCCATTACATTGATTTGGCTAAATGATGGTGAAATCCCACTATGGACAAGATCAACATCATTTTTGTTTTTTTGGGTAAAATTACTCATGCTACTTAGACCATTTGAATACTTTGGAATCTATATTGCAATAATAATTGGTGTGGCAAGACAAGTGTTTTCTTTCTTGATTGTGCTTGGCATGGTGGTTATTGGTTATGCACATGCATTTTTTATACTATTAAAGCCACGGCCAGGAACTTTATTAAACACACCACCAGGTCCAGATAATGATGACCCAAATAATCCATGGAGGCTGACTGATGCATTTGATTCAGTAAATAATGATGGAACAATTTCAGATAAAAATGCATTTGTTGGGGCACCTGATCCCAACACAAATTTATTTATGAGATTTGATACAGCTCTCTGGGCTGCATACCTAATTCTTACAGGTCAGTATAAATTAAATTCGATTATAATTAGAGATTTAAAAAACAACAAAAACCTCAGCTAACAGTTTTATATTTTTCTTTCCTTATAGGAGATACGGATCCAATTTCTGCTTGGAATGTATTGGATAACCCTACGCTTGCAATACTCCTAGTGACATTTTCCTTTTTCACAGTTATTTACCTTATGAATCTTTTTATTGGGCTGCTGAGTAATGCAATTAACGATTACAATGAACGAGGAGCATACTTGGCTCAAAAAGCTGAGGTAAGATAATAAATGATGCATCTTTTAGCCATTTAAGATAGGATTTTTAACGAGTTAACTGTTTATACAGGTACTAGCAGAAATTGAGTTGTATTACTTGTCTCCACAGCTAAGACGAGATAAGGCTTGGTTTCCTGATATTATGTAAGTAAAAAAAATATTATGTGCTAAGGAATTGGAATTTATTATAAACTGATATCAATATCATTCATTTTTAACAGATATTATGAGGCCAGCGTCAATGAACTACGACTGCTACTTGAAAAAAGTATTAAAAATAAGCCTAAATTTTGGGAAAAGGCGCCAAAACACGCTAAACGGATAGCAAAAATTCTTAATCTTTCAATACCTGATCACTAGACCTTTTAGTGATTAATTTATAGAATAATAATAATTAGACGGTAATTTATCAAAGTACGTTACATAATATAATGCATGCCACGTTTTAATGTAATCACCATATAGAAGGTTGATGTTGTATACGCTTTACGTAAAATAAAGTTAATTTTTAAAGATATTAATATTTATTTTAGTACTATGTACGAACAAAAATTGGGTTACCCCTTGCACATCATTTTTTTATCGACCAGGGAGACTAATGCATCCGATCGAGACGTATAAAACCACAATTTGCACCAGATCATCGAATCCCAGCATAACAAAAGCTTGTTTGTAAATTTATTACCAATTCGCTTAATATGACCAATAAAAACAGAAAAGTATAATATAGCTTGTTGAAAGAATACCATAAAAAGAAAATGTTGAAAAGAAAAATGAAATTTTATATGTTAATATTAACGTAGTGCAAACAAAGGTACTGTAACATAGTAGTAAAACGGGTGAATGTAATTGTGTCACAGTAAATTCGTATGATTAGTCCAATCGAAATCATACGACGTGGGAAAGTTATTCGCGTAAACGTAGTTGTAACAATAATCCCTCGCTTGTAAAACTTCTATTCATAAAGAAACGTCAATGTCCTTACTATTACATTTGTCTTAAACCGCTAGCACTTCTGATTCTCATGCTTATGCAAATTATGATTTTTGGTTTGATGCCATTAATTAACCGACCATTAGATTTGTCGGGTATACAGTATACTGGAATCGAATTTTGGACATTTTGTTGAAATAATTGACGTAGTTCCTGCTTTGGCAATAATTAAATTTACTTCCCACGAGAACAACCGAATCACAAGTCCTGGATGTAGATTAACATTTCCATTGTAGCATTGCATAACTATTTTTCGCTTTTGGTATGTTGATATACCATTAACAATACCACAGATTTTCTTTCTTTGTTCCTTATTAATGACGTGGGTTGCGCAAAGCGGGATTTATTTGGAACACAAATGTTCGCCAAGCGCAAGATATTCAAAATACTATGTATGGGGTGTGATACAAATAAAGCTCGCATAATTCGCACAATCGGGAATGAACACAGGTTTGCCTAAATTTGACTCACCCGCTATTCTAATTTGTTGCTTTATCGTTTATATAAATTGCCACTTCCAACGTGGTCTCGCTCTTCTTTAGGTGCTTCATGATAACGAAGCATTCGCCCCTGTTCTCGTGTGATAAGCAACCTACCTCTTCTTCGCATAAACAAACTATTCTTAAACATGCATTTACCGTTGGTTAAACTTTCAAAATCGTACTATCATGTTAACGCGAAAAAGAGATTCACATCGTCGCCCTTGAACGTCCCTTCGAGGACCAAGAGAGTTTTTATTGGTCTCATATTTGATTGGTTGTTAATTCTTGTAATGTTTGGTATATCGCAATGGTGAGCATCTCTCTGGCTTTTTGTTGTCAGTTTGCAGGTCCCGAGAATTGGTTGCCTGTCAAAGAATATCTCTACAAGACCAATCCAGCTAATCTTGACTCTGCAACTACCTCACCAGGTTCTTTTTGGTTCCTAAACCACCTATAGCCTATTTCCGCTTAGACGACCCCGATTATATGCGTCCAGTGATTCCCCAAATAATATCTTCCTCTACTGCCGGTATCTTGTCTGGAGGTGTTCCATTGATTATTTTACTTATTCTCGAATTGTTGTTCTTTTGGGACAAATGGAATGTGTATCATTTGGTCACTGGGCATGCGACTAGTGTGGGTGAGTGGTCAGATTATGTAGAAGACTTGGACGCATTATTGAACTTGATCATTACGGTCTTGATATACTAATCTCACACTCAAATGTCTAAATCTTTGCAGCATTTTCCTTGTTGTTTACTTCACTATTTTGGATTACGATTGGAAGTAAGAACGCAGCTTTCTAACTTTGCGTGCATGTATTGTCGTAACTCTTTTGACATCATGCTATCTATCGTGCTCTTCTCACATTCCGAAACCCCATTTGTATTTTTCTCTCTCGAACTAGGCCATCTTGGATTGCGCCCATCTTTTCTTACACAATGTGCACCTGATTTGAATAAAACAATTCCGGGTCAAATTTATTATACGGTCGATATTTGCACGCAGCCATTGAAAAAGTTTGATTTCCAAGGATTTCCCAGCGGACATTCGTCAAATGCTTTTGCAGGATGGGTGTTCTTTGTCTTATACTTGAATTCGAAAATGAAGGTAAGAAAATGAATGGATAGGAAATTGAGATGTGAAAAAAATAGTGTAATAAGACCTATTGGCAAATCCAATGCTGCCGGTAAGCTGACTTTTTGTCTTTCGTTTTCTTCTCAGCCATGGAGCGGAACAGCTTACGTATGGAAGGTAAGAACAAGACTATTTTAAATCTTCACTCTCCTCCAATAAACTGCCGTTTGGTGTGGCCCTTTGCTTGAAATTGTCCGACAGAGCTAACTCTTTCTATATCTTCTATACACTTTAGGGATTAGTCCTCACCCTTCCTTTGGCTCTTGCCACATGGGTAGCTCTTACTCGTGTGCGCGACTTCCGTCACTTTCCTTTCCAAATATTCATCGGCTCACTTATCGGCATCGCTAGTGCAATCTTCGCTTATCGTCTAAACTTTGTCGTTTTTGGATGGTTCCTTGGCCCAGGAGATGGAAATGATCATATACCCGCGAGGTATCAGTATTTGGCAGCAAAAGAAAATTCTTTGGAGGAATCAACCAGACAACTGCCTTCAAATGGTTATGTTGTTGAAGTATAGAAGAAATACGGTCGAGATTTATTTTTTTAATAGAGTATTGGTCAATGATACTATTACAAGGAAATACATAATACTTGTACAATGAACTTAATAGATGTAAGATTTGTATTCTGATTCAATTATTACCAGTCAATTGACACACGCATTGAATGTGTTATGGGTAATTACTATTTAATTAATGAACAAAATAAAGTTGAAAGTATGCAATCAAATCCAATTACGATTTTTCGTGCAAAAAAGCAGGCGAAGAGGTTTAATCGTTAATGCGATAGGCAAGAATAGGCAAAAAAATTGCCGATCTGGAAAACTATTACACGTTAAACCGAATCTCATTAATAATACGAAGATTTCTTTTAACATTAGAAAAACGCGTGCGTACAGGATGGTTGAATATTTCACACCTCGAACAGCGCATTATAACTATTTATCGTAGAGAAGGTACACATGGCAAGACGTCATTAGTGTGTCGAATAATCTCACATGTTTTGTTGGAGCGAGAAAAAAAAAGCTGGTAGACAGATGTATATGGATATGCGCAAATTGTGATATATACTGTATTACTTGTTAGTGAGAATGAGGGTACGAATTTGATTTGTTTGTTATTTAATTATAAGAATAAAAGTCTTGGCATTTATTCTTCGTGTGTAAACCGATAATTATTTTGTTCGATAGCAGATTCGGATTATGAAGAAAAACGGAATATTTTGTTAATCCAAAGTTAAGCTTTGGACCCATTGACTTTGGTTAACGAGGTTGACTGTGTATTCCGCTCCCCTCGGTTATGAGCTTTGGTTTGACTGGTGGTATTTCTGTTCATTATCGAATAATATAACATATTTTTGGCAATCGTGCTGTAACAAGTCAAATAATGTTTTCAGCGTTATTTCGTGACACAGTACGTTGATTAATAGCAGCAAATCAATTGAAATTAAAAATCCCATACTGTAGTAAAAACGTCACGATTACTTCCTGGCGTAGTAAACTGCCAAAAAATTACAATTGTACAACTCTCGCTCAGTTGGAGAATGAGCGGGCATAATCTCAAATACACCAATTTTACTTCGATATTACATCTCAGTTTCATGTAAAAGATCTATAGCCTGATGAATCAGTTAAAAAATTCTTGTTTGCCTAGATTATTTGACGTGTATTCCCTCTCGAAGATTTTAGAATTCATGCCTATATTAATATAAGGATTAAATTGTAGTACTACGTATTATTAGTAGCAGTGGTAACGCACTGATAATAATAGAAGTGTAGCGAGTAGCACTTTTAGATATATAAGTAGCTCGAGTTTTCGTTAACTGTCAGGGCGTTCCCGTTTCTTATGTTCTGGTAGTTCTTATGTTATATTCCTTTCTAATAAGCGAGTAGTTCTTTTATACTCTGAAATACATTATTGATATTTTGTTCTCCGGTAGAGCACAGCAGCACGAACCACTACCTCTATCGATTAAGGATATTAGATACTTGTCCTTCGAATATCCTGGCGGCAGTTTACGAACTGTTCACCTAAGTAATAAACGCGTTTTAGATAGCTATGATAAACTCAAACTATAGGCTTTTGCTTTAATCCCAGCGAGAGGGAATATACATATAACTCGAGGTCGACACAGTAATTTAAGATTAGTGTCTACAGACCGATATAAACCTGAGTAGTAAAGCTTGTTTAAAAGTCACTAACTGTTGAATTGTATTCCCAAGGTTAATTATCATTTGCTCTCCCGTGACCGTTGACTCAACAGGCGATTAATATTTCTTTTTGCTGGCCTACGTAACTAAAGTCAGCCAGCACAAAATTTCCTGGTGTAATTGACTGAAACGGTTTGGCAAGAGAAATTGAGCAGAGTGAGAAAGTGAATAGCTGTCAGCTGAGGGCGTAGTTGTAAGAGGACGAATACAGAATGCAATTCACAGTTTTACCTACCAACAAACTGTGTATAATAATAATTATAGATAAAGTTATATTTCGCAAATATCGTGTATATAATGAGAAAACTTCTTCATATTGCTACAAGAAGTACGTTCAAGTCATAACAACAGGACAGAACAATATTATCTTAAATATCGCAGTCAATTTGTTTATTCATATTGTCACACATTGTAAGAGACTGATAAATAACATAATAATATGTGGTTCATAATCTCGTCACAAGGCTGTAATATTAAACTGACCTAAATTTTAATAAATAAAAATTAGATTAATAGTTTGTTTATGTATGTTTTGTGACAGATTTTTCTACCACCATTATGCCAATTATTCTTGGTTTAAGCTTTTCTAGCTATCCGATCTTACATACCTATTTGAGGCTTAAACACATGTAAATAATCAAAACAGCAGTATTAATTTCACGCTTCCCATCGCCATGCTAGATATGTATTTCTCCCCCATATCGATATCTATTTGAGCTTTAAATTCATGTAATTTATCAAATTCAATCGCCATTTAAATTTCTTTTCGAAGTGTATTGCTAGATCGCTTTCAACACTGAAACAGGTGGTAGCAAAATGTTCTACTCATTTTCATATATCTATCGTTAATAAAAGCTTCGTTTTTTTCGTATATCTATTTGGACTCTAAATACGAATAGCCACAATTAGAAGACGCGTTAGCAATTTTGATCGATAATGCCAATTGATCCAATTATAAGTTTATGCTAGAAAACTGGCATTATGTAATTTCTGTTCCACAAAAAATGTCAATATCCGTACCTCGATTCTTGTGGAACCTACAATCAATTATTCAAAGTGCAATTTTTCAACAACTTTGTGACTGATCTAATTAATCAACTCGCTACTCCTATTTCAATTATATTATACATAACATCTGTATCTGAACAAGTGCTCTCTAATAAAATCTTACAGAGAGGCACAGCCACTTGTAAGACTAATAGTGCCAGAGACGTCCTTAATATTCAGTTTACACTTTGGTTACCTAACAGTCATAGACAATATGAAGAAAGTGAAGAAGACTGTCACGTCCAGAAAATTCACCCAGACATATATTTTCTCACTAGTAAATTCTCTATGTTGACCAACGGGTCTCTTGAAGTTGTTATTAAAAGATATAACCAGTAAGACTTACTATTACTACGAAACGCCGGACGATATTTTATTAAAAGACATAACCAGTAAGACTTATTATTACTACGAAACGCTGGACGACATTTTATTAAAAAATATAACCAGTAAGACGTACTATTACTACGAAACGCCGGACGATATTTTTATTAAAAGACATAACCAGTAAGACTTATTATTATTACGAAACGCCGGACGATATTTTATTAAAAGATATAACCAGTAAGAAATTTATTAAAAGATATAACTACTATTACTACGAAACGCCGGACAATATTTTACTATTTACTACACCACAACAATCGAATCTATGCTGACATAGCAAGCAACAACAACAAAACGAATCACTAGATCGGTTGACAATCTCTCGGTGACACATTCGAGGAAGCAGTGTCGAGGTGGCCATTCATGCAATTAATGATGAGGAGCCAGTTCTCGGCGGCGGACGCACTCATATCAACGGACTATATGGTATTATTGGAGACTATCGGCCAGCGACTGGATCAGTTTGATCCGGCGCTTGTAGTATTCAAACTAAAGCACCCCTCGGGTGACGATATATACACTCTCCCCACAGAGATTCAATGGTAACGCAAGCCTGGAACCCAACTGCGGACTCATATATCTTGCAAGATCTACTTAAGGAGGAAGCCGCCCACCACCAACGGCAAATGGATGCGTTGCTGGATGCGCTGGGGGAGCAGCAGCGATTTTTACTACAGAATCGGCGACGAGGAGCTCGAGGAAGATGATTATGATGTAGTCGATGAACGAAGATAGAAGGGGGGACATTGTGATATCGTGATAGAAGGGGGATAGAAAAAAAATCTATTACTATGCCGTACACATAACCGATGGTCTGGAATACGATAAATCCCTTTCAAATTACAAATAAAAACGCGTTGCCTACTTAATTGGTTACTAAAACAAATGATAATGTTAGGGCCAATCTAAATTAAGCCATACCCATGTTTATGTTTGTCTCATTTTGCAGTCATTAGTATTAGGTTTGGGATGCAAGTATTAATTCTATTATTTTTACTTTGAAACTCTAAAACACTTGCAGGGAATGAATTTACCGCCCCCGCATATAAATATCATATTCGTGATCAACTTTTATAGACACGTTGGATGAAACGATTCTAAATACCAAAATCAGGCCCTTGTTCTTAGTGGCGGTGGATCTCTGCAACATATCATTCCACACATCCACTGTAGGGAAGTCAAATTTTTATTCAGAAGGTTTATACACCACTGTGACATCACGTATTTTCTTCCAATTCTTTTACGAGCGTATCAATCCTTTCAAACTGCCAATCCCAAGTAGAATTATACAAGAACGGACGCAAATCAAATCGATTATCGTCTGGACTATATGATTCTGCATGGTACGCAGGCGTAAGCGTTGTCATTTTGTGACGATTAATTGAGTAATAGATGAAAAACCGCTTAACTTTCGTTGCGACCTGTGATATATCATCAAAGGAAATGTGATTATGTGTTCAAGAGCAGTAATGATAAGTACACACGCCTTTCATACCTCAGTTGGTCGAAGTATGTCGCCCCATCTATGTACTAATTTGGAGAACATCGAGAACGGACCACACTTTTCAATTTTACGAAGTCTTCCAAATATCGACAACTCTTCATAAGTCATTCCCATATCCGCCTTTTTAATATATGTAGGTTGAGTAACGGAATCATTATTGCCGTTTCATCAATGGAAAATGTACTAACTTCATCTGCCTGGACGTAATCTCCCGTAATTGGTTCAAGCTCAGCCGTTGGCGTTGCATTGAGAAACCTAATAGCAGACTATATATTAGTAACTAAGAACGCTAACAATAATAATAATAAACCCAAAATAGCATACTCATCAAGTACGTCGATTTGGTATTCGTTCTTTGCGTAAGTAATAAATTGTCTCAAGTCGATTTTACTGATTGCTCCAATAGGGTTTATATCCGCACTCGAGCAGTCATACTTTGTAAAGTAACCTCTGAGACTACAAGCGGGGGACAAGAGTAATAGGATCGAAGTAAAATATTATCAGTTAAAGTGCATCGGTGACTCGAATAAATTGGCACAATACTCCTAAAGCTAAATATCCTTCCATACCATTCATCCGCATTAGCACTTCCAAGTACGAGTAATCCTCCAGGGCGATTGCGAACCCAGGGCATAAGTTGAGCAAAAAGATAAGCAACGACCATACGAAGTCTAGCCTAAACACAAACTGCCCGTGTTAGACAACAGAAATAATAACAATACGCACAATAAAATCAACAACGTATCAATTAACTTATAATAGAAAGCATAATTCATAAATCAAGCAAATAAACCTGAATATTTTGCAGCGCCAAATTTTCGACATTCGTTCCGCCGTGTAAGCGAAAGGTTGGTGTTCGTTTGGTTATAAAAGTGAATAGTCTGCAGACTGAATTGACAATATCGTCCATATCTAAATCGATATGATAACTATTTAAAAGAAAATGCAAATTAGGCAATTACCTGATATAATAAGCTCATCGAAATCAATTATTCGTCTTCGACGCGCGACAGGGCTTACCTTCCTATTACATCTGCCAACCGCTTAGCACGATCGCGTGTTTCTTTGCTTGAATTAACCGTTCCCATATAGCATGTATGAAATAGTCGTCTACAAAACAAAACAGATTATAAATCTTTATTCTGCAGACCATGCAAGCTTTGTTATCTTATTAAACTTACTTGCAGAATTCTCTTGGATCACAGGGAACATAGTCGGAATCTTCACTTTCTCCGACTATTCTTCTGGCGTCCTTGATAACCTTCTCATCTGAAAGATGATAAACATAATAAATAACAATAAAACCCATTTCCAGATACTATAACACATTTCTTTTTAATTTTCTACCTCCATCTTGGGCAGCATCCGTGACAAGTTTACACATAGAATATACAATGATTGCGGTTGAACAACTGTCTATGCCACCACTAAGTGGTAAAAAGTATCCACTAGCTTTTGATCTACGGAGGTAGTCCCATAGCCAGCATGCTGGACCCAAGCTAAAAGGATGTAGAGGAAAAGTGAATGCATTCAAGCGTCAATTAATATCATTGTTGATGTAAAGCTTTTTTATGTAATAACTAACAAACGACAACACAGATATGTTTATATTCCATTAATTCTTACGCTATTTCTTGCTCGGGGGTATGATAAAACTCTTGAATAGCTTCCGTGGGCCGTATATTCGTCTTCTTGTCTATTTCTGGCTGTGACAATGCCATATCAGCTTGGAATCTCTTATAGGCTGCTGTTTGAGATGCTTGCATTCCTCTGCTAATTGTGCATCGATGCGACCTTACATCTTCAATGTCAATTGTTGCGGTGACTACTTCCTGACGTGAATCATGTTCTAGTAAGTAAATGAAGAGCTAATATTTTTCATCTGTTTTTTTTTTCTATGCAGTTATATTAAGTTTCTTACCACATCCTTTAATGAGAATTGCGATCCTTGCGCTATTATCCGTCCATTCAAGGCAATCAAAGCGCACCCGTCATAATACAATCTATCACCGTCGCACCCTTGTTGATTGGCATAGAGGTAGATTCCTCCATTCTATTTGATAAAGGGTAAAAAGTAAAGCCGTATACACTAACGATGCTATATACATTGCCTATATTCATAAACGAGGTTAAAAATCCATATACTTTAAGTGTAGCCTCTTTGATCAAGTCAACACGTCTGTATAATTTACGAAGCTCATGATGACTTCCGCTGCTGTTACTTATAATCTCGATACCGTCCAAGCTCATGCTAATATGAGGACTAGAAAGCGCGAATGGAGGTTATTACATGTCAGTGCAACAGCTCGGTGGTCGGGTTAACCAAAAAGTCACACTCGTAGAGTCAGCGATGACCTGTTGGGCGTAAATAGCTCTTCGCATAATTCTACGCCAATACAAGTGTCATATGTTGAAATAACCGCATCACCAATTGGCACAGTAGTCTACGTACCAAATAGAAGCCTTTATATCAATATACGTCCCAAGCAATCACAACATCATATGAACGTTCACCTGTCCTGTTATATTCTTAATCATTCTCGGTAGATAATATTCTTCTACTAAACGCGCAGGCCATGGGACAAAATATCTCATCTCACGATAGTTGTCATTATTAGCCAAGTATAGTTTTGGGCGAATTAACAAAATCTTTCCATTATAGAGAATGACGCGGCAATTGTATTTGACATTCTTATGAGCCACTGGCCTTAACAGACATAAAAATGATCAACGTAAAGAGGGCGAAAATGTCAATTATAAAAGCCAATAAGACAATCTGCTTACATTCCGATATCCAGCAGAATATCTCTTGCATCGTCAGATGTAAGTATCTTGGTCATTACTTCCCATGAATGCAAATAAGTATCACCTGAACGGAATCGATATGAATTAATAAAATAGAGTAAGGTATTCAACGTTTACTACATTAATTCACCTTCAAGGAAATGATCAAAACATCCATATCCACTATATACGTAAAGATGAATTTAATCAGAATACATTGATCGGACATTATATAATACGAAAGATAGTTTGATTACGTGATCTCTAATTCAGGCCCAACTCTCAATCTAGCTCCATGCTCCTTGGCAATCCGAATGCTCTCAAGAATTCTCTCCAAATTCCCCACAAAGTCTAAAGCCCATTGGTTTAGTGAACACGTCGCAACAGTAATCAAATGACCCATTACTATTACCAAGTTCTAATAAAGTACGCCATCTAATATCTTGATTTTTATGATCATGTGACTGTAATTTTATAGATTATCTTCCCAAAAAAATTGTTCACTTATTTTTTTCTTCGGGAATCATGGTACACTTATGGCTTCGTACTGAGACTAAAAGGAAGGAACATAGAGCTGCAATTACACCCTCCAAATGTCAAACGCTTTTGGAACGTGGTAAAAATGATAGTGGAGAAGGAGACTCTACAGAGACTTGAATAAGCGACTCGAACTCTCGATCGATGATCAATTATTCACTAATAATCAATTAATAATATCCGTACACAGGGTTTAAGATAACCGTAGAAAGATCCTCACAAAGAATATTTGATGATGAGGAATATGAAAGGTAAGTCACTCAATGATACACGTTTCAGTTCACGTATCTCGTTTGCATCAAAAGCTCATCAAGCATCTTCTCATATTACCCTTTCGGGGGGTTCCAGAGCAGGCTGTACTCTCGTTCCTTCTTTGAGTTGGAAAACCGCTCCCCTCGATGCATATATCATTGGACTCAAAGAACTACCCGAAAACGACAACTGCCCACTTGCACATACGCATATTTTTTTTGCTCATTGTTACAAAAATCAAGCCGGATGGCAAGATATTATGAGGAAATTCATCAAGGGAGGAGGGACAATCTTAGACCTTGAATATTTAAACGACGAAAGAGGTGAGTCGACGAAGAAAAGAAAAGGGCTGGGAAGGAAGGGGGGGGGGGGGCGAGAATGTGACCGGAGAGATAACGTTCATGTTAATTACAGGTCGAAGAATAGCAGCATTTGGTTTTCATGCGGGTTTTGCAGGGGCAGCAATTGGTCTCGATGTTTGGGCACACCAATGTCTACATCGTGGGCAAGAGTATCCATCAATTGACCCTTACCCTAATGAGGACGAGCTTGTGAATAATATCAAGCATCGTTTGGATGCTGCAGGTAAGGCATGAATAATAGTGGATTTGTTTCTTTCGTCATATTTCAGGTTATCAATACGCTTTTTTCTTCTTCA